TAGGGTAATCCAACCTCTAACCTTATACACTAGAGGTAGGGGAAGGTTATTCCACCATTTCCGATGTATAGGGTGAGTTTCAGTCCAAATGAAAGTCCGGAAGAGCATCGGTAGACTTTCATCATACTTGCCTCCAAATCACTCTATCTAATTCCTATTAGAGTTCAGCTCGGGTCCGAGCTTTTAGAGGTTTCCTTCGTGGTGTGTGCAACGAGTTAAAAGAAAAGGCGTACAACCCAATTCAAAAATAAACGTGCGTACAAAAAAAATTTAAATATATACACAAATGAATAAACAAAATTCAGAAAATAAAATGACAAAAATAAACACAGGAGATAAATTAAAAACTAAACCTATGGCCTAACTCTAGTCCCCGATGGAGTCGACATTCTATCGCTACCCGACGTCGGACGAGACTCCTCGAAAATAATCTAAAATTAGAAATGAATATTCACAAGTTTATTTACAGAGTTTGGAGTCGCCACCTAGTATTGAAAGAACTAGGAACCTAAAACGGACACTCGGTTCGGAGATTCTATGGTAAGGAGTTGGTTACGCTTTTGGGAAGATACCGATCACCCAAAAGCGCCCTTTCCCAAAAAAGGTACCACGTCCGGTTTAGCTCTAAATTTATCTCCTAAAATATTTTATTTACATCAAATTATTTTTTGATTTTTTTAAACTCCCATTTCTTAAACAAATTGAATTTTTTAGTTTTGAGCATGGCATCATATTGAAACGATCGTCGATCCCCTTCGTCGAGCGACACGTTGATTCAAACATCGGATCCACTTTATGCCTTGACACAATCGGTGTGTCGGAGGATATTTTGATTTAAAAAATGATTTTTTTTTATGACGTCGGTCCCAATTAGATAGGAGACTTCATCGAGAATTTTAGATTTTTTTGTGTGACGTCAATCCCTACCATGTAGGAGACTTCGTTGAAAATTTAGATATATATTTTTTTCTGTTTTTTTATTTTCTTAATAAAGAAAAAAAAACTATAAGATTTTAAGTAACTGAAATCAACTGAAATAAATTTTGAGAAATTAAAAGTATTAAAATCACCGTTCGTCCCTAATAAATAGGAGACTCGTTGATCCAATATTTTAATCACATAAAAAAAAACATCACATGTTAGAATAAATTTCACAACTAAATATATCTAGATTTTCGAACATGCATAAGATAAAAAAATTATTACAAAACACAAAAAAAAATAAAAGAAAACAAACACAAACAAGTCCAAAATTCACCTTTACCAAAATTACAAAAATGCCCCTGGAATACCAAAGGTCACCGCCAAGTGATCGTTCGTCTTCCGGTTACGTTTCAAGTGCATGGACCAACCATCCTTGTAGATTCGATCGTTGCGAATCCAACGGTGGTGCTATCGACCGGAGACGACGTCGGAGAAGGGAGATCGGAGCCTCCAAAGATTCGGTCGGACCTCCTTTCTTCATCGATAATGAATCCGATCTCCTTTCGGGATTCCAAGCATACCGGTCGACTCGTGAGGTTGAGAGGAAGATGTCCGCAATGGTTAGAACCTTCAACGACTTCTAGAGCGGCCAATCTTTTCGTGTTTTTCAAAACGATGTCGAAAACGGGTCGAGCTTAATTAAACCGTTTTCTAGTGTTGTTGGGTCGAGATATTTATATGAAAACACTCGAGGGAGACCGGCGATCATTTCGTGGTGGTGGTTCTTGTGTTGGTGACCGAAGTGGAGAGAAACAAACGGGTATTATTTCGGGTCGGGTTTTGGTGGTTTGATCTCCGATTTCTCTCCCTCCATGATTGTTTCTCCCTTTAACCGGTGTTGATGGACCGATCTAGTGATGGGCTACACGTGGGTCCGTTGATCGGGGTCAAAATCTAATCGGAAAACGATCAATTGAGGCTTAAAAGTTTCGACTGGGTAAATGAGTAATCGGGTATGGTTATTGGGTTAGGGCGTGTTTGGCTTCTTCTTTTTAGGTTTTCGGTATTTTTTCTTTTTTTATTTTTTTTTGGCTGCGTTTTTTCTTCTTCTTTTTTTCCTCCTCTCTTCTTTTTTTTCTGCAAATTGGAATTCCAAAGCTTTTTATAGGCCAAAAACATCCTAAAATTTCTCCCAAAATCAATTCAAAAATCAAATTTTAATTGGAAAATCTTAATTTTTAGATTTGTTTAGCTAAAAATAAGGAGATTCTAATTTAAAAAGATTTGTGAAAGATTTTAACAGATTTTTGAATGATTTTAAGGAGGTTTAATATTTTTTTTCCTTTTTTGCTTTTTTTTTGTTTTTTTTTCTCTTTAAAGGAAACAAAATTAGGTTATGACAATAGTTTGCTTCACTATGTATCCATTGAGATAGATGCCCATGAACAAGTGAACGAAATTAGAGAGTATATATGAAAGAAAATAGTGCATGAAATAAGCTTTCTATGATTAGGAAGTTTATGAATTTGAAATATAGAGATGAAAGGTCTATTGCTAAACATTTGAGGAACATCTAAGATTTGATTAATTAGCTAATAACCATGTAATAAAGATAGATGATGAGTTACAAGTATTATTGTTTCGAAAACCTTTATCGGATAACTAGGAGACTTTGGTTATGATACTCGGTAATTCTAATTCGAATGACATTTTATCACTATATATATTTAAAACAACTTGTTCAATAAAAAAGCATGATGAAATGAAGTGATAGCAAATGATACACAAACTCTTGTCTTAAAGAGCAAAAGGAGAAGTAGAAATAAAAAATTTAGTGGACATGGTAAATCCGAAACATATCACAGCTTAATGTCGGTTCTAAATATTATCATTGTGGAAAGAATGTTATGTTAAGATATATTATAAGATATGAAAGAAAGAACGAGAACCGAGAAAAAAAAAGATAATAAGAACACCACTAGAGTATTAACTTCATACCGAGATGTGGTGGTACTTAAATATGGGAAGATAAAGTGTAATGTTGCATATTATTATGTTGAATAGGTTGCTGACTCAACAACTACATATCATGCTACTTGTATGAAGGAATTCTTTGCTATATTAAAGCAAAGACTTTGACAAAAGGAAAATGGGCAACAATAGTTATGCTAATGTTCAAAGGGTTAGTGATATATGTATAAAGACATGTGCGGATTGAACTTTGATTTTGAAGGATGTGCTTTATATATCAAATTTATGCTTGAGTATGATGATTTCTACTCATGCCCTAGACATTGTTGGGTACTACAATTTGATGGTGGAAGATGAAAACTCACAAGGGATCACTAGTTATTATCATAGATAAGATTTGCGATAAACTATACATAAAAATAAATAAATAAATTTAGTTAGACTTGAAAATAGTAAAGTTAAGTATCAAAACTTCTTTGAAATTATGGTCTAGACGACATGTTCAAGTGAATAAAAAATTATTATAAAAGAAGACTTATGCTTTTTTTTTTTTTAAGAAGTTTGCGACACATAGATAATCATTGAATGAAGAACTTAAGATTGATATTGAGCCAATAATTGGTAATAATGATGATACAAAGGAGTATTAAGGAAGGAGAGCAGGACTCTTCGAGTTCATAATGTAACGTTTTAGTATTATTATTATTTTTTCAAGAACTCTAGTTCTAATAATGTCTTGTTGATTGATGAGGGGGAGCTAAATTGTTTTCGTAATGTTCTAAATAATGATAAAGATCGGGAACAAAATTTTAATGATTGATGATGTTATTGGTTTTGTGAGGTAATAGAAAATAAACGATGACGCCGAGAAAGATTTTTTAGATAAAGTTCCTTTATCGTGTGCTAGTGTAACTAGCATGAACTCTAGATGACGACTTGTGATTTTTTACTTATGGATCAAAAGAGGAGGTTTATTGAATATATGCTTAATATTTAACCCATAAATGACCTTAACATAACCCATTAAGAAATTAAATTTAAAAGAACTATAATAAATTTAAAAATTAAGAAAAATGAACGAGCAAAGTGTATATTTGCATGTGAAATGCATATTGTGGTGGGAAAGAAAAGTGAAAGAAGTGCGTTGGTTTTTTTTCTTTTTTTTTTTTTTGTGCCACACATGGAATATATGTATATGAAATGAAATTTGATCTTTTAGAGTAGTGTTACTAAGAGAAGATGAGAGACGATAGAGATACAAGAAAAAAAGAAGTTATTTTCTGTGGAAATGTGAAGTGTGCACACATGGCAATGGAAAAGAAAAGGGAAAGAGTGTGTTGTTGTTTTTTTTTCCCTTTTTTGAGGCACACATGATAATATACACACACACGAAAAATGAAATTTGATCTTTTAGAGTATGAGCACGTTACTCTGGTTGGGTTTTCTCTTTAGTTTAAACTCCTTCTATGAACTTTGATCTTCGGAAATGTAAAGTTCTATATATATATATATGTATTTGTGTGGAATTTCTTTAGAAAGTAAGGATTTTTATGTACTAAATATTATGATTTTTCTTAAAATTGATTCTTGAATACTACAATCATATGGAATTAGTGTTTAAAGCAATGATCTCACAACGATATTGCATACATAGATTTTATAGATCCCAAGTTTTCATACTGAGCTTGATTTATCTAAAAATGGAATTGACACTACTTTTAATATTTTTATTTTTTCAATTTCAGGAAAAATATTTTCTTGATTATAATAGAATATTTCAAAATTGGTATGTGATTTTTTCTTTCTATGATAAAAAAGATTTCCATGTAAATTTGATATTATTGTTATTGATTAATTTATTTTATATCTATGATTATTTTGCATGTTGGCTTGATTATTTTCTTCCAAAATCTGACTTACTTGAAATTAAATTAAGTTCCCAGCAGGAAAAAGGGTAATGAAAACTTTCCAACGACCCTTCTGTATAGTCAACTGGACCATCCAATGGCTACATCAGACTTACAAACTCATCAGTATTTAAACAAACGATATTGGATCAATTGCAATGTACAACCATTCTCTTCTAAAGCAACCTTATACGAAAGATGGAGATTCCACATAAATTTCATGATTGTGGGCTTTCCCTAGTTTTTCTTGTTTTACTTGCTAACTTGTCAACATCTTCTTCGCTGTCTCAAGGTATGCTACTTAACTAAATATGTTCTCTTTGTTAAAGCAATTTTCATTAATATGCCTAAACATTGATTCTGCTGTCCTCATTGTAGGAAAAAGCCTCCCATACATGACTTCAAACGTCGAAGAGATATCAGGCAAGTTTTTTGATTACATTATTGTAGGAGGAGGTACTGCAGGTTGCCCCCTAGCAGCAACTCTTTCTGAGAAATTTTCAGTGCTAGTGGTGGAAAGAGGAGGCTCACCCTATGGAAATATCTTGATAACAGATAGGAAATTCATGGGTTTCCCACTGTTACAAACAGATGAATTTTCTTCAGTTGCTCAAAGCTTCATATCTAAAGATGGAGTTCTCAACCATAGAGGACGAGTTCTTGGAGGATCATCAGCAATAAATTTCGGGTTTTATAGCAGAGCTAGTGATAGTTTTGTTACAAGAGTGGGTTGGGATAAAAAGTTGGTGAAAGAGGCTTACGAATGGGTAGAATCGAGAATTATTTCTAAACCCATTCAACTGACCAGATATCAATCTGCTCTCAAATTTGGCTTTCTTGACGCAGGAATTCGACCATATAATGGGTTTACCTGGGAACATATAGAGGGAACAAAGATCGGGGGATCTTTGTTTGATAACTATGGAACAAGACACACATCAGCTGATCTTTTACAGGCAGGAAACCCAAATAATGTGCTAGTTCTCCTGAACGCAACTGTAAAGAGTGTTGTCTTCTCTGGTAAGCAAAGATAACTTCAGTTGCTGATTTTAGCAAATGGTAATAAATATGCCTAACAGTACACTGTAAGACCATTATTAATTAACTGTTACAGTCTTAATAATTTATATGTTAGGGTAAATGTTCAAAATGAATATTTTCAATCGATTTTGAGTAGTTGGATTAAATTATAAGAAATTAATTGTTTGAGAATTAAATCTGAATATTTAAGCAACATGAATAATTGATCATGAAAAGGACAAAGAAAATTGCAATTCAATTTTGAATAGCAGAAACGGCAACAAGCTTCTTTACGTGTAGCCTACTTTATTTCAATTTATTTTATTATCTTATTTATTTAGGAAAATTATTAGAGTAAGAGTTTTATTCCTAATTAGTCTAACTTATTTTTAAAGTTTATTTGGCTATTAAGTTTACCGTAAATTTCAATTTGCCTATCTGGTACTTGTACATTTTCTCAATTTCACTTTAAACTTTTAATTTGTTTCAGTAAGACCTCATATATTTTATTTTTATTACAATCAATCCTATCAAATTTCATTTTATTTCAATCAATTCCCATGTCTTTCACTTTTCTTCATGCAATACCGCAATATTAAAACATAAATATTAATGTCTAATATTCAATTATTTATCACGTTATCTTTCTTTTGAATTTTTTTTCAAAAAAAAAATATCAATTGTAAATATTTAATAAAATGTCATCATCAAAATCAAAATTAAAAAAAAATATTAGATTATTTATTATTGTATATTTTTTAAACAATTTATTATATTTATTTTCATCATATAATCAAATTAACAATATTTTTAAGTGAAAATGCCAAATGTACTTCCTAGATCACCCCTATATAACCTATATATTTACTAATTGACACTTTGTTTTGGTCCTCAAATCTCCAAAAATGCTTTAAAAGCTAATGAAAATCAATAATATTAAAAAAAGACTTTTATTCCTTTGATGAGAGGAATTATAAGTTTTATGATTCCTTTTGACAAACCATACTAGTATTGAAAAAGACTCTTTTGAACATAACAAGTCATAATATATATTTATTTTTTTATTCATGTATTTACATCACATATATAGAATTAAAAGGGACTCTTTAAAATTAAAAGAATCCATTTGAACTAAAATGCTAGTGCTGATGTTACCATTCAGTTTTATGTACCTAAATTTTATTTTAATGGAATTAAAATTTATGTTATGTGCTCTAAAAAAATAATTTAATTATAATTTATCAAAATTTACGTAAACATTATTCAGATTTTACACATCTAACTTTTAATTTTAATCCAATAACAATTCATTTTTTTTTCATTTACAAAATAATAATAATAATAATAAATGAAGACTGTCTATATATTGATTCTGCATACTAAAAAAAAAAAAACATTCATTGATCTCCTATCAGTATTGCTTGAACGATAAATCTCCTGACGCTAGTAATTAGTAGTTCTACTTGAATAATGCAGGTCAAGGAAATGGGATCATAGTTGATGGTATTAGGTTCATCAAGAGCGATGGCAGCACAAAACAAACTTATGAAGCTTACCTCAACCAGTCTGCCGCGAATTCGAGTCAACGAGGTGATGTTATTCTGTCAGCAGGAGCAATAGGTAGTCCTCAGATCCTAATGTTAAGTGGCATTGGTCCAAAAAATCATCTTCAGAACTTGAATCTCCCACTTGTGTTAGACTTGGAAAGGGTTGGACAGGAGATGAAAGATAATCCGAGCATAGACGACGCAACCAACACAAAGCTTCAATTTTCGGATGCTGTACAAGTTGCAGGCATAGTGAATGAAGACTTCAGATTCATAGTGGAGGGAATAATCGTACCAAGTAGTTTCAATGCATCGGTGGTGTCAATTGCAATCAAGAATGCATTCCCGGAATCAAAAGGAAAGCTAGAATTGAAAAATACAGACCCTAGGCAAAACCCTTTAGTGGAATTCAATTATCTAGAAACGGAAAATGATTTGGAGAAATGTGTCGAGATGGTTCAATTGCTTGAGAGAATAGCAAGTTCGAAGTCCATTACATGGTTCAGGGGGCTGGACCTCAAAACAATGTTTCAACTTCTAATCCTAGCAAACTAAGGATGTATTGCAAGGACAATTTACGCACATTTTACCACTATTATGGCGGTTGCAATGTTGGATCAGTTGTTGACAAAGATTACAAAGTATATGGGATAAAAGGATTAAAAGTTGTAGATGGCTCAACCTTTTCCGAATCACCAGGTACAAACCCAGCTGCTACAGTCTTAATGCTTGGACGATATCAAGGTATCAAAATCCTCAAAGAAAGGGAGAGTGCTTCTGCATTTAGTGCCCAATTACACCCATAACAAATCCTCAACTTCACCTATATATATACATGTAAGCTACTGCATTGTCTCACACCCGAGAGTGCAAGACAATACACTATTTCCTTTATTATGGACCTCTATGACCATGCACAAGAGAATTCCTTATTTAGTTTAAAGTTCAAGGCTTCCTATAATTCGACATCTAATGTTAATAATTTTTTTTGCAACCCGAGACATTATAAACTCTTCCATTTCTATTCATAATTGAAACATAAACTTAAAATGAATATAATCATCCTTAATTTATCCATAAACATCCATTTACTTCGACTCTTCTAAATATATTTACATATTATCTCATTCAAAGTATAAAAATATATCATATATAATAAAAAATGATCGAATCTAAGCATTGCTCGCAACTAGCCAAGCCTAACAATGATTTAGTATTCAAACTTTAAACTTGGACTCGTTGTACACAATTTGGCATACTCGTAGCTTACAACTAGCATCTTCAATAAATCTACATGTCCTTAAGCATTACTTCATTCACCTACACCATAAGATAAAACAAAATGAGCTAAACCTCAAAATAGTGTAATCGTGCATAGTAGCAATGAAAACAATCATTTTTCATGCTTGAAATTTTTTATCTTTCCGAGTGCACCTTGCTGAATACATATAATTTCAGCCTTCTTTTTTCATAATGGCTCTAAACATGTTCGATTAAATGAATCTCACAAAAGTTGATCATTTCCCTTGTCCCTCTTGAACATGCCTAGCCATGTCATGTCCTCATAAAATCATGTCCTTATAAAAACTATGTACATGTCCTTTCTTAGAGACTTGAAATCATAACATAAAATATTTCATGGCGTGAATGCAATTAGAATGCAATATGCATAAACATGAACATGAATCATATGGCATTAAAACATTCCCGGATACATTCCACAGGACATGATAATGTCGAATATCATCAAGCCTAAACCAACCAATGATAAGGTCTGAAACTATCTAGTCTTAAACAACCATGAACACAACGCATATGTCATTAGTAATTCATGAATCTAACCTAACACAACACATGGTTGAATTCCTCACATGACGCTCCAATCATACAACCATTCAACATCAAGACAGAATCAACAACGAATATAATCAAGACTACCTCAATTTTTCCATTAGCCCAATCTCAATAAGTCAAAACAATCTCAAACAATTCCATAGCCATTGGCTAAATTTAGCAGAAGACACGATTATGAAATTCTCCACTAAGCTTACCTAGGCTAAACTATCCTCCATCAACCCTAACCTATATATTATTCAATCAAAGACAAAAATTTTAGCAAAATTGTACATTTGTTAATGATCAGTCGCATGTCATGACATAACAATTTTTGTCAACAAAAATCACATGTCATGGCTTGATAGAAACCTTATATCATATTTTTATTCTCTTTATATTTAGTTTATTTGCTATGTTTTATGTCTTATTATAATAATTTATGCTCATATTTATGTTCAAGACATAAACTAAGAAATTAGAGTAATCTTGTTTAAAAGTTAGATAATCTGCAAGCATGATTAACTTAGATCTTCTAGATTTCTTATACGTCTCTCGAAGCCTTAAGTTGGATTTGAAAAAAGTGTTCTTCAAAGCCTTTGTAAAGGATATCTAAATATTTCAAAATGATATAGTGGGTCAAAATCCCAGTTCTTTTGGGCCTTTAAACGACATTTCATAATCTAGTCTTAAGAGTTGATCCGAATCCTATTCGAGTCCGAATCGGTTGTGGCATTTAATTCATATTTGAAGTTTTAGAACTCCAATTAATGTAAGAATAATCCCATGAAATACTTAAAAGGAATTTCTATAATTATTCTTAAGGTCTTGAGTCCAAAGTAGGTTGGTTTGCTAGAGAAATTCAACTACAAAGTTAGAATCTTAAAACTAGGTGGACAAGCTGAGTTAGTGGCAATGTTTTGCCCATACCTAAAGCTATGGATCTCTAATTGATACAAGAATTAATTTTTGGAGAGATAAAAAATAGGGCTACAACTTTCTTGAAAGAAGAAAACTTTAATTCGGCATGTATATAATCCATTTATGCTTTATTACTCAAAGGAACCCATATGCGGCTAAGGGCATAAAAAGGCATGACTCCATCACTAAATCTCATACGAAAATACAATTTTCGTAAAAAAAAATACAACAACAACTCAATCAATTGTCATTCAAACAATCTAAAACCCCAACAACAAGTCATAAAAGGCATGAATCTATCACTAAATCTTATACGAACCTTAACCTTAGGAAATTCACTATTGGTCAACTATGGCCACACCCAAGCAAATCATACCCAATAATTTTTAAGTCATTTCACATCCATTTGTTCATAACCATACATACTCATCATAATCTATCACAGCCTAAAGCATTAGGCAAATAATTTAAATATTCCTCTCATGGTTGAATGTTTCATCTATTCAACTAAAGGATATCTTCCTCAATCATTCACTTTATACAAGTCATTCATATTTTTTATCAATGAAAGTACAACAACAACTCAATCAATTATTATTCAAACAATCCAAAATCCCAACAACAAGTCATAAAAAGGCATGATTCCATCACTAAATCTCATACGAACCTTAACCTTAGGAAATTCACTATTGGTCAACTATGGCCACACCCAAGCAAATCATACACACAATCATTTTCAAGCTATTTCACATCCATTTATTCATAACCATACATACTCATCATAATCTATCATAACCTAAAGCATTAGGTAAATAATTCAAATATTCCTTTCTTGGTCGAATGTTTCATCCATTCAAGCAAAGGATATTTTCCTCAATCATTCACTTTATACAATTCATCTTATTGTGTTTGTAATAACCCAAAATTTTCTTATTTTTTATTTTTTATTTTATTTATTTATTTATTTATTTTATTTTATTTTATTTTTAATTTGAAGTTTATTAAGGAAAAAGAAAAAAAAAGAGAAGGAAAATGATGAAAAAAGAAAAAGAAAAAAATGAAAAAATTCATTTAGGGGTGCAATTGAAGTAATTAGGGGTGTAATCGAGTCAATTAAAAAGTTTAGGCCTTAAATTGCACCTCCGGGGACCTAATTGTTGAGATTACACCGAAATTATTTCGCGAGAGGGTGTAATTGCTGAAATTGAAACTCGAGGACCAAGCTGGAAGTTTAGAGTGAACGACGAGGATCGAAATGGAGCAAACGACATGTCGTTCGCTCCAAGGCGGATTCTCTCCGAAAATCTTTGGGAGAATCTGCCCAAATCCTCCATGAATTTCGTGTTTTTGATTGTGTATTAATCATGGATTTTGTTGCCAAAACCAACACTAACGAGGAATCAATGAGAATTTCCTGTTTTGATTTCACAATTAATCTCGAATTAAAGAGGAAGATTTTGACAAAAAATTCAAGGATTTCAATTCAATTTTAGGAAATGTTTTGGCTATAAAACGTTTGAATTTCACAGAAAAAAGGAGAGGAATTAGGAGAGGAATTCGGGTTGGAGACGGAGTGAAAACCAAAAGCAAGAAAGTTTGATTTTTGATTTTAACTCCTGCTTTTTCTGGGGAATTTCAGGCGAGCATTGGTGTTCTTATTTTCTCGGTTCGTGTTCTTCCATTGTCGACCCTTTCGGTGTTCTATTTAGGGTCTTTTGGGGTTGATTTTCCATCCCCAAGTGTTTCTCAATCCCCTTCTTAAAATTTGGGTTCCAATTCGTCAATTCGGGGTTTTGTTTTTTTGAATTTACGGCAGTCGTTTGAGTTTGTTCTTGTTTTTCCGGGTTTGTTCTTCATCTGCTGGGTTTGGATTTGATCATTGCTCGAATCCATTGAAAGGGGTTGTGGGTTTTGTTTTTTAGGGGAACTATCGGTGGTTGGGTGCGAAAGCAAGGAGCCGAGGAGAAGGATTAAAAAAAATCGTGAGAGATCATCACTTTGGTTTCTGCGTTTCCCGGAATTTTTGGAGTTTTTCGGTTGAAGTTCTTCGAACTTTTCCGAGTTAGCATGTGGCGTTTGATCCTTCGTTATCGCTTGATTCATTCGTTTTAATCTTTTATTTGTTATTTTGTTCATGATCCGATTTTGCGTAATCAAATCTTTTGATTAAAGATGAGTTTTTATTTTCCTGAAAAGTTTAAGGAATAGGGAGAGAAAGTGAAGAACATGAAGAATAGGGGAGAGAAAGGTTGAAAACTGGAAAATTTTGGTTTTTTATCCAAAAAATAAAAAAGAGGAGCGCGCGGGCTTGTTTTCGGGCTTGAGGTCCGGCCCGACCCACGAAAGAAAAAAAGAAAAGGGGGCTAGGCTGAAATTACCCAAAAAAAAAAAAGGAAATCCAGCCCAACCCGAGGTAAAAGAAAAAAAAAAGAAAAGGGGGCCCAGCCCACACCCTTTCTTCAAAAAAAAAAGGGGGGAATGAAAAATAAAAAGAGAGTTAGGGAAGAAAAAAATAAGAAGAAAAAAGAAAAAAATTGGGGTGGGTGTAAAAAAAAAAAAAAAAGCCTAAAAACTTCGACGAAGCCTCCTACTTGATAGGGCTGACGTCATCAAAATCACTTTTAATTAAAACGTCGTTCGACACACCGGTTGTGTCGAGGCTTTTAGTGGATCCGATGTTTGAATCGACGTGTCACCCAACGAAGGGGACCGACGATCGTTTCAATATGATGTCACGCCCAAAACTAAAAATTCACTTAGTCTAAAAGAAAATAGTAGATTAAAATTTAGAAAATAGCTTG